AAGCTCGAACAAGATAGGGGTACGACAAAGTGTTAAATAAAAATATAGGCATAATATTAATGGAAACACCTAGATCTAATATGTAATTTTCAAATTTATTATTTTCCACGGTACATGAAATGGAAACAAAAAATTTAGATTTTTTTATTTTTTGGGTATCATTTGAATTAGGGCATAATATTGTGTCTCATGTTGACTCTTTCATTCCCTTTCAGCCTTTTCTTACATGTGCAAAGTTTTTGAGAAATTTGACATATTAGAGTCTTTTTAATTACTTCAAGGAGTGGAATATTCACTTCCACCTTTCTTAATGTATCTAATTTTTCCTAGTCTCTATCTGCCTCATATTTTTTTTTAGTTTTCATTGCTCTCCGAGGAAAAGGAAGTGGTATAGACTGTTTTTGCTCAACATCAAATATGTTTGCATTCATAGATAATAATCCTTCATGAAAATATTGGATGAGTAGTTATTCAATAATTTGGTGTTGAGGACAGATAGACACAAGTTTCTTGAATCTCTCATAGTACTCAATCAAAGATTCTTTATCAATATGTCTAATGTAACACCTTATCCACGATACTTATATAAAAAGAATTATATGGTAATTAAACTGCTATGAACTTTAAAATAATTCAACATTTAATCAAATAGCAGCAGGAAATCAAATTAAAATACTCAATAAAATCATGTGTGTTCATAACTTCAAAATAACGTCATAAAAACTCCTCAAAAATATTAATTCGAATTCGACATTTTAAACAAGTGTCCAACCCCCGATGTACATGATCTAAGCATAGCCACTAAATGAACAACTAAACAAAATGGATATAACTTCAAAAGCTATCTTTCGCTGACAACATCAACTTCTAATCTTGATTATCTGCAAGATGTCCATGGTGGACAACATCAAAACAAAAGGGGGGTGAAAGTACACTTCAATAATTAAACGGCATAAGATGTAGTGTATAAAACACACATCTACATATATATCACAACATTCACACAATATCATTCTCACACCCAATCCATTAACATACTTTTAATTACATATTCATCATTTAAATTATGCAATGAGACTCACAACATCAATTATACTCATATGCATGTGGTACCATATCACCAACAATGCGTTCACTCAACAACTGTGTTCACCCTACCTGAACCCCAAATCCACCATTCTCAGATTGTGATCCACTGAAGTTAGAAAAGGGTGTAGTCATTTCAGTCAAGGGCCTATCAACCATTATATTTGTTTCATATTCAATCTCCACCTTTAAATGGTTTTAGTTTTAAAAAATATTTAAAAATACTTGAAGAGAGATAGACTCAAGTGACTGCAAGGAATCAATTTCCCAAAACATACACATGGAGAGAGAGAGAGAGAGAGAGCGAGAGAGAGAGAGAGAGAGAGAGAGAGAGAGAGAGAGAGAGAGAGAGAGAGAGAGATAAATGGTTTTGGAATCTATTTTGACATTTTTTCTTTTTATGACCAAAATGTGAGAGAGTGATTGTGCATAAAAATCGATATCTCCTCGTTGAATGGTATTTTTGTGGAGGCGGTATAAGAGGTGGTTTGCTAATGCGTTTGAAAACACTTTTCTGAGATACCTGAGTCGGTGAATCGGGATATGGTTTTTCAATGTGTTCAAAATATGATGGAATCCTCGTTGTTGAATTGTCACCTGGTGTAGGTTTCACGTTGTTATATGCTCCTTTCGTTTTTACTGGCTGAGAGAATGGTTTCAAGTATGTGATCTCGGGAATGCAATTTTCCTCAATTGCTCTTTGATGTGGATTATTGTGTTGTCATTAGATTTCAAACATCTTTCTTGTATCGCTTCTCATTCTGTCAAGATGGAGATATTGATTTACCGTCTTTCATAACATCGTCATCTTTAAAACTGAGCCTCTTCCAATGACTACCTCTTCCATTTGTATCGGGAAATCAAGTTTCACCTTCTTAGATATGACATAAGCACATGGGAGACCATATGTTTTCACAAGTGTACAACCACACTTTAGGCTATCGGAACCTAAATTAGAAGCTCGCTTGGCTTCGTGAAAAATATAATTTAGAGCTGATAGAGATATGTTGCTGAACAACTGAAAATATAATGTTTTATTTGAACCTGTGTTCCAACACTATGATACTACGATCAAAGGATGTTTGTATCTCATTATGCTGGTTTAGTATCATTTGGTTCACAGATTCCCAATCCGCGCACAAATCACCCTTGCTATTTCCCAACCAATTCTTCAGGCAAGCATGAGCAAACTCAACTCGGTTTGTTGTTGTATTTCTAAGGTGCATAATCTGATCGGTCCAAGCACAAACAATATTCTCCTTTATCTGGTCCAAAATTGTGTTTTCAACATATTTCAGTAAATCAAGATATTTCACGCACACCTTCCTGAAATGTATAACAATATCAACATATAGCTCTTTTGTAGATGCATTTAATATAACATTCCATGCATCCATAATTTTATCCATAATAACGCCCGCCTTGACGAGTTTTCCATCTTCACTTGCTATATGTTTTGGTCTGACCGCGGGTTTAACACGACTTCTCAAATTCTTAGTAATGTGATATCTACAAAGTAATGCATAAGAAGTGAGAAATATCGTTGCAACCAAACTCATTAATGCGGTATCTCGACGGTAATAATGACTTTCGTCATTTCTTCTTGATCCTTCGACATTGATCGACATACCTCTAAAGCCCAGGAAAAATTGTCCTTTTTTTTCGCACTCTAGAAATGCAGAGCTAACAGAATACATCTTCTCAGTCGACGTAACACCAACAACATTCAACAATAGAAGCCTGTATTTGTTTGTCTTATATGTTGAATCAATTATAGACATAGTGGGAAACATATTGAAATATTTAATGGAATCAGGATGAGTCCAATATATATCTCTTACTATTACTCCATCTTCACATCTTCGGTGTCTAGAAATGTAATTATTATCATCTAGAAGTTTCAAGAGGTGTTGCATTTCAGTTCGATTCCCCCTAAGCCCTGATTTGGATTGATAGTGCCTATTATACATTTGCTTGATATTTGAGATATTCTCGAGTCTTTTGCGCTTTAAGGTTGCAAGTATATTTTTGGAAGGTACCAAATTCAATGTCATGTTGGGAACATATTCCTTCTCTTCCAACAAGAGTCGGTATGCAATTGGATGACTGGATAAGTTTGCATATAAATCATGATTATGTAAACAACGTATCATATTAAATCTCCATTTATTATTTGTCAACCGATAACCACACAACTTAAATGGACATTTGCATTTTCTTGAACATGTATCATCTCGTTTAAAATTCCGGAGAGAACGTCTATTGTTTCCCACTTCTTTCGCATGTCAATGTCACAAATGTTCATCTTCTATCTGAATTATTATCAGACCTTCCGATCACAATACCAAATCCTAGTTTAGTGGCCTTTGTACGAATCCACTACATCGTGTCATATGAAATTCATACTCTTGTTCATTTTCAAAATGGTTCCGAATATCTACCGCCTTAACTAAGAGAGGTGAAACAACTTGAGATACACTAGGTTTGAGAATAGAATCGGGATGCACTATACCTAATATAAAAAAAAATATTTAACCAAGAAACATCATATCAAGGAATAAATTGCTGGAAAATAAGCACAAACAGATATCGAAAATGTATATTTGGTCCAGTTCATTGTGTAACAAGAAGTACATTTCCAGTATTAGCGTGACCTTTTTTTTAGTGAAAACCCAGATTAATGTGATGAATGAGAGTTGAAATGAATGAACTTTACCTTAAATTCCACTTCCTTTAGCTCCTTTTGATATGATGAACCACAAGAATGGAGATTTTGAGTGAAAACTTGATTGAGAATGGAAGGGTTTTTGGAGAGGATTTATGGAAACTTTTGTAAATGAAGATGATCATGTTGGTTCGGGTTAGTTGCTATTTTAAGCAATTTGACTTTTGATTTTCTAGAAAATACACTTCCGGTAATATCTGATATGCAAAAGTAACAAAATTTTCAATTTTTCCCACTAATTAATCAGAAATAGTTATCTGGTTCTCTCCCGTAAATGTATCTCAAAGATTAATTGAAGTTTAACAAAAAAAAAGTATATCTCAAAAATACATTTTCGAAAATACAGGAGCAAAATTGAATTTTCATAGAGTTCTTTTCAATGAGATAGAGTGTCGTAAGAAATCTCTAAATTCTAATTCCCTTTATGATATTTTAGTTGTTTCATTAATGTGCCGGATTGTTTTTTAAATAAAAAAACCCATCTTTGTTCTATTTTAGGACCAGCTTCATTTAAGTACAATCTATTGGTTACATATTATCATCTAATTTTCAATTTACTCTATCAATATTTCACAATTTATTTAAAATTATAGTATTTTACCAATGATGCTTAATCTATTATATATATTTTAATTTATATTTCAAAATATATTTATTTTTGGTCAAACTATATTTGTATTTTTTAACTTTTGTTATATTTCTTTATTTTATAGGGTGATATAAGGACCATTCTAATGACCGCAGCAAATCAGTAACCATTCTCTTGATCGGTTCCCTTTCGTGTTCCATTTCCCATCACTAAACCAAAAACACGGTCCTCTCGATATTATAAATAACATTTTTCAACTTGTTTTTGTTTTCAAAAGCTAATAATAAGATATTGAGATGAGTCTGAGTATGAGCTACTGCTGCTGCAGCAGTTATGGTCTTCCACGGCTTCAATCTTGCAAAATCGCTAACTCTAATCTCCACCCGACTCATACCCCTCACGGTACGGTACTTACTCGCATATTCATATTAACTTTGCTGTTTTGTTTATATTATTATGCGCTTAATTTACCTTTTTATTTTTATGCTCTTTGGATGTAGACACCAACAATCTCACAAAACCTATTCAACATGAAAATTGTCTTGCCTCCAAGTCAAAGATTAATGGCAATACTGTTATCCCATTCATTGCTGGAATTACAGGTAATGCTCATTGTTTCTTAATCTATGTTTAGTGTCTCACCTATTTATACTGTTGCTTACTATCTTTATTTACAGCGCCACAATTGGTTGCTCCACTCACCGCCAAAGCTGTAAGTATAAATAACTCTGTTGCTGACAATCTTGACGCGTTTCTATGTCAAAATCACTTAAAATGTGTTTGTGATCTCAGGAAATGGCTGCTTCTGTGTTTTCTCTAGCGGATGGAACCCTTGGTGACTGGTTTGGAGGCATTCTATTTTCAGCAGGACAGCAGGCCAATGAAGCAGTTTTGGACCAACTATCCTCCCTAAGTTTCACTAGGTGCACTATAACTTCCTTTCAACATTATCTTTTCCGAACGTCATTTTTATCTGCTTCTTATTCCTCTTTACAGTTTCGCTGTCATTTATGGGGCAGGCCTTCTAACTAGCCTTTCTCCCTGTACACTTAGTGTCTTACCGCTCACTCTCGGTTACATTGGTAAGCTTTCTGCTGTTTTGCATTTTTCGCTATCAATCTTTTTAAATGCCTAAAATCTAAATCTCTTGGAATATCACAGGTGCATTTGGTTCTGGTAAAAGCAGGGGACAGGTAATATCTTGCCACCCAACTTACTCTATGTGGCCTTAATCTTCTTATCTCTTTTTATTTCCCTATTTAAAATTTGATTTTCTCTTATTATTATTGTTGACTACTAATGCACTAAGGGATATGTCATTAGGAATTATTTTGTTGGAAAGTGTAGGTTTCTAATCCTCCATGTTTACACCAAGGTCAAAGATTCTTATATATGGAAAATCATTTCCCAACCAGTGTATTTCTTTAATACAGGCTTTCTTTAGAATAGAATAGACCTTCTATTTCTATATAACACCGACACTCTAGATTAAAGATATGTCTGGATGATCTCTTGAGGTCTTCTATTTCTATGTAGCACCGACACTTCAAATTAAAGGCATGTCTGGTTTGTGACACTTGTTAGTGCCAAAAATCAACACGGTTTTGGCGCATGTGGTCACTTTCAATCACTCCAATTTTCTGAAGCTATTATGAGTGTCAGTGTCATGTTCATAACCCGTGTCAGTACTTCATAGTTCTATTTCCTATAACATTTTACTGTATGAATTTTATCATATGCATAAGTTCCTCCGCTTGTTGTACTGATTCCCTTGTTTTGGATAAATTCTATTTATGAGTGTCTCATGCTACACACACACAGAGACTGAGTTCTCACTCAGAATTGTCTACGTCCTGTCAGGCTATTGGAGATTCCATTGCATTTTCTTTGGGTCTTGCAACCACATTAGCGCTACTGGGTGTAGGAGCATCATTTGCAGGAAAGGCTTATGGACAGATTGGCCAAGGATTACCTTTGGGTGCTTCTGGTTTGGCTGTAATTATGGGTCTGAACCTTCTTGAGGTAGTAAAACAATTCTCTTCCACAACTTTATATTCTAAACGTGACAAACTTTCAAGTTTGTGCCGTCAAGTTTCTTATTTTGTTGTTTAATTTCCCCGTGCTTGAATTAATATTCAGAACCCAACTCTCAGTTCGCAGTGTTATTATTCACTAAATTTTCAAAACTATATTTTTCATCCAGTAGCGCTAATGTGGTTGCAAGACCCAATGAAAATCTTGTAAAACTGTACAGTATCTTAGGCCTGTTAACGCAGTAGTATAATTTTCTGACGATATAGTTTCTTTTGCTCTCGACTACTGAGATCAAGTTATGTAATCAAATGTTCAGGTAATCTTTACATTAGTTACTTTAAGCTCAGGGCAGTTTCCCACAGTGCATTTTCATCAGAGATAGTCTGATGCATGCCATCTATGTTTCGCAAGAAGACATTCTTCAAATTCAAAGGTTTTTAGATTAAGCCACTGACTCACTGTATCTAGTTCTTAAAAGTTGATCAAACTATAAAAACTTTCTCGAATAGAATTTTTGGATGTTTGTATTCACCTTTAGAAAAAATTTCAGATCATTGAATTACAGCTCCCCTCATTCTTCGACAGCTTTGATCCACGTTCAGTGGCTGCCAATTTTCCATCAAGTAAGTCAATGCTCTAATGCTCACTTTTTTGTTTTATCAGTATGTATTTGAATGCAGAGAATTTAACATGGAGGAATTCTACTCTTAGGTGTGCAAGCATATTTGGCTGGGCTTACATTTGCATTAGCTGCCTCACCCTGCAGTACACCTGTTCTGGCTACCCTTCTGGGATATGTCGCTGCATCCAAGGTACTTGTTGTTAGTATCCAAATAATGTTTCTTGATGGCAACATTTATATGCTGTGTTGGAAAGAGAACCAAGGGTAAACCAGTGCTAATTTCTCATAGTTTCGGCTTAAAAACTCACCAGTCAAGTACATTTTGTAAGCTGCATTTTAAATCTAATATGTCAAGTAACCTATGTTTGTGATATTTTTGCACCCGGTGACAAATGGATTTCTAGTGCATCGGATATTTGATCATGCAGTTTTGCTGCATATCAAGAAATATATGTAAATACATGCTAGTCGTGTTTTTATATTTCTGACATGAAATCTGTCTTGAATCCTGATTCATTCAAATGAATCATTACGAAAACTTAAGTGTAGTTATAGCCACACTTTTTGTCAACTTTGCCTCCAGTGAATATTTCTTTACAGAATCCAGTGATTGGAGGCAGCTTGCTTTTGACATACACAACAGGATACATTTCTCCCTTACTTTTGGCTGCTTCTTTTGCTGGCGCCTTACAGGTTCGTAAACACTTTTTTTTTGGTTTCATAGAGTAACCTTTAAGATATATATCTCTCGCTGAAAACAATATTTCTCATTCAAATCTGTATTGACAGAGTTTACTATCATTTCGCAAGTACTCAGCATGGATCAATCCTGTAAGGTAATTTTTTATTTTTTATTTTCAATAAGCACTTGAAGGTAGCACTGTTGTTCCCCTTTACACCTCATCACACACTGACTACTTTGTAGTTTCAAGAGTATCCACTTGTTAGTTGAATAACTTATATATTTTTCATGTTTCTGATTTTTGCTTGTTCAACAGCGGAGCAATGCTGTTAGGAGGTGGTGTATATACCTTCTTGGATAGGCTCTTCCCAGCCACAATGGCAATGTAGAAAATCTTGTGTAGTAATCTTTTATGAGAACAGTTACATATGTGTGTGTGTATATTATATATATCATGCAACTAACTACTACTCTTAAAAGGTAAATTCAAAATGAGTGTAAATCCTTCCTCTTGACCCTCATAGATTCAAAATTCAGATGTTTATGCACATAAGACAAACTCTTGAATGCTGTCGCCGCAATTATTATTGTTACTAAAAAAATAAGTAGTGCACAAAGTAATCAAAACCAGAACGGTTATCTAAAAATACGCGCTTATTATTGACAATCTCATATATTCAAAAAAATAATAATTTATTCAACAACCAACCAATTATATCAATATTTAATTTTTAATACGGACCCCGACTGTATCATTGTTTAAGTAGACAATCATTTACTTTATATAGTTTCTGTTAAGTGTTAATAACTGTTAATAACTGTTCATTTACATATAGTCTAAAATAAGCACCAAGAGTTTGGTATGATAGACTCAAGAGCTCTCTTGTTGAATTACAATTTGTTTCTAACAAGTATGATCCTTCTCTATTCATCTACTTTAAAGCCCCTGATTTGGTGTACATGTTAGTGTAGGTTGATGATAACGTCATCACGTGTGACAACAGAGAGCTCACTAAATCACTTGTATCTAAGCTGCACTCAATATTTTCTCTAAAGAACAACAACTTGATTATTTTCTACGCATTGAGGTCAAAAACAAACCTAATGGAAATATATTATAGATCTCCTAATCAAAAGTAATATGATTGAATCCAAATCCCTTTTATTCTCTTATGGTTGTTGGTTTAAAACTTTCTAAGACTTGCTCTGATGCTATCCTATATCCCACAAAGTACAAATCGGATTTGTTGATGCACTGCAATATGCCATCATCACCTGACCTGACAATCATTTTGTTGTCAATAAGGTGTGCAATTTATGGCTGCACCTCTTGGCTCCTATTGGCAAGCTGTCAAACACATCTTGAAGTATCTCAAGGGTACTATTTCTTGTGGCCTCCGCATTTAGTCTACCTATATTTCTCCTATATCTCTCCATGCTTACTGTGATGTTGACTAGGGTTATGACCCCCATGACAGGTGAGCACTTGGGGAGGTTTTTCTTGAAAAGACCCTCAATATTTGTGGGGAGAAACAACTTGTCATTTCTCTCTGATATTGAAGTTGATTATAGAAGTTTGATCTAGCTACCTCTGAACCACTTTTGATTCAGTCCCTACATCAAGAACTAGGCATCTCCTACTCACCTTCCACCATCTATTGTGATAATATAATCTTATTCTTCATGCTCCAAGGGAATACATGGAGTTGGACATGTTTTTTTGTTAGAGAATAGGTACTCAGCAAGCAGCTTCAAGTGTTACATATCCCATGTCATCACCAGTGTATTATTGTGTTGATGTTATTATCAAAGTTTGAAGAATTTAGAACCAAACTCACTATGTGAGATTCTTGTCTCTCCCTTCGTTTTAATTTGCAAGGGTATTAAAGGAACTAATATGACATAATCTCTATTATAGCTATTGTGCACTAGCTGCACAATATACTTGACATGTATAAATGATTCTAACTAATCTAAAAACTTCTTCTTAACATCTAGGAGCTAACTAACTAGTTATGTTAACTATGTGAGTCTATAAATAGAACACATCTCATTGTAATTCTACAGAAAATATATTAAACAGAAAAATGAAGAATCAAATTTTGGAGAAAATTTGTAAGTTTTTTTTTATTTTTAATTTAGTTAATGTAAAATAGTTTAGAATTTGAGTTTTAAGTTACAAAATTGAAAGATTTTAAGTGTTTACTAGTTTAGAACTACAGTAAAACGTTTTAGTTAAGTTGTTTTGACGATCAATGACATTTTTTTAAGGTCCTCAGGCTCTGCAACCCGTCATTGACAGGGACTGAGGTTGCACGAATTTCCGGAGATGCATCTCTAAAATTTCAATGTTTACATAAAATCGGAGATGCATCTCTGGAATAAGTTTGTCTTCATTTTTTTCCTTTATTTGAACATGAGTCATTGTGCAACGTTTGTTTTGTCCTTTTACAAGAGTTATGGCTGACAGAAAATCCAAGTTGAGACAAGACAGGATTACACAACATGCTTCGGTTCGGATGGAAAAGAGTCAAGCATTCCAGGCTCCTTAAACCTCTGCACAGGTTGTTGCAGAGGTGGCGTTAGGTTTCGGGGTTCATGTCTCTCCACCTTCTTCTTCATCCTCCCGTAACAGGCGAGATTCTCCTGCGCATGCCTCCCCGCCTCGATCTTCACGTAGATGCATGAGTTCACCTATGAAAGTACTTGAGGCAAGAGAGGCATCACAGTCTCAGGTCACACATGAGGTACCTGTTAGCTGAAAATTTCAATATTAGAGTATAAAGGGTCAAAAGTCGAAGACTAAGTTATTATTGAAAGGAATGTCTTGTAAAAGCTTCGACTAGGGGACAATCGAAGAAACTTTTATGTTGAAGAGTTCGACGTATGTTTGAAGCTTGAATTCAATATATATATATATATATATATATATATATATATATATATATATATATATATATATATATATATATATATATATATATATATATATATATATATATATATATATATATATATATATATATATATATATATATATATATATATATATATATATATATATATATATTGAAGTTTTGGCGCTCTTCGTAGATAGAATAATTCGAAATTCAAGTCTTTAATCTTATCCAGAAGGCGCGTGGATTTCTGATAATTCAAAGAGCTTGCATGCCGCTAACGTGACATCTAGATGTAGAAAGACCGTTAAGGTCGAATTAGAATATATATAGGAGTCTTAGTGATAGGATTTAGTGCGTTAATCCGTTTGTACAAAATCTCACATGAGAAAAAGAGTCTTTTGAGAAATGTACGTGTAAACACCCTCTTTTATTTAATACAAGTTATTTTTCCCAGAATTTACTTTTAACAATTTACTTTTAATTTCCTTTATTACACTTTCTTTACAAGTTTTCGTAAGTTTATTTTGAAGATTCACTTAGATAAAAACCAATATTGTCAAAGAAATATGAATATTGTTGAAGCATTCTTCGTTTTCAAGAACAAAAGGTTGAATTAGAATACATGTTATAGGATCAATCTAGTCGATCCTGCGAGTAACTAAACATTTTTTGTTGTTTTTAGAAGACTAGCGCTTGTTTATCAATTTTCATGGTAAACAATTTGGCACGCCCAATGGGACTTGTGTTCAATTAACGAATATTTTTGTTCTTGTGAAAAGTTTTTGAAATTCTTCATCATTTTCTTGTATTTTACTTCATTGTATGAGACTTAGAAGTGGTAAACTAGCCACAAACAACAAGAAAATATCCAAAAGAAAATACGTTAGAAAAATGGCGAACCAAAGTAAGCCAGATAATCAAAATCCTCCTAACAGTGATGAAGTACCACCCCCAGTCACTTCGACAGGGGGAACTACGTCTTCTGCGCCTTTTTCAGAGGCTATAATATCTTCAACAAGTTCGACGCCAATGCAGTCGAACGCTCATACTGGCCCTATTTTGATCTATATAGGATCACATGGTCCACAAGGGACCCCCTCCAGGGGAAATACTTTCCATAGGTCTCAAGGGCCTTTTGGTTTTTCTATGCCTCAAAATAATCACGAAAGGCTGTATGGCATTGCATCGTCGTTTATGATGTGTTTGCATAATTTCACTTCAACATATTCATATCCTGTAATGAACGTCACTTTACCATTGCAAGGTTCTAAATCTACTGTTAATAATATGGATCGAACTATCCAACCCCATGGAGAAGGATTTTCTTACCAAATGCCAAACTTGACAAATCACTCTATAACGGTGATTAGGCAGCAAATGGACGAAAGTAACCATGAAATGGTCCAAATGCTTGCACAAACAATGGGTATAATTTTTAACCCTTTGATTTAAAACACCACTCAAGCAAACCAAAAATGACGCGCATTGTTGAACTCTTTGGCGTGCCTTAACCCCTACCACGTCCTCAGAGGGAATGGGTTAGGAAAAATCAAGGGGTGATCTTTGAAGAAGACCCAACGATTAACCAGGTTCAACAGAATCAAAGAAATACACCCCAGGCGAATGTGGCAAATTAGGGAAGGGCAGTCAAAATACCTAGAATTGCGAATGTCGAAATTCCTAGAATTGAACCTCTTAGGCAAGAACCATAAATTCTAAGGGAACCAGAACCTAGGGTTATGATGGTGAGTAGAAATCAAAATGTTGATGAAGTCATATATCAAGTTCGACAAGATAATATGGCAGCAAACAATAATCTGCCAACCATGATCAAAAGGATTATGGATCGAAATGGTATGAATGTTGGCCTTCATAGAATGAGTATATCTTACAAATGGATACATCTCCTAGATGGAAAGTACCTAAATTTACTAAATTTTCTAGGGACACTACTGAGTCCACTATCGAACATGTGGATAGATACTTGATAGAGGTAGGCGAAATTTCCAGTAATGAGAATCTTAGGATCAAATACTTCTCAAGTTCACTAACAAAAAATGCCTTTACATGGTTCAAAACATTACCAACAAATTTGATTTATAGTTGGGCTCAATTGGAAAGATTGCTCCATGAACAGTTTTACATGGGACAAACAAGATTAGTTTGAAGGAATTGGCAAGTGTTAAGTGAAAATTGACTGAGCCCATAGATGATTATCTGAACAGATTCCATTTTCTCAAAGCTAGATGTTTCACTCAGGTTCCTGAGCACGAGTTAGTCAAAATGGACGTAGGGGGTCTAGATTATTCCGTCAGGAAGAAATTGGACACCCAACATTTGAGAGACATGGCCTAGTTAGCTGATAGGGTTCGATAGATATAACGCTTGAAAATTGAAAAAACTAGAGCAAATAAGAATAATAGAAAAGAAAGAGTAGCCTATGTTAAATTTGACGAAGGCGATCAGGGGTCGATGAAGAGGCTTTAGGA